GTTGTGATAATACTAGCGCCATAAGCTTGACGAAGAACCCCGTTCTTCACTCAAGGACGAAACACATTGACATCAGGCATCATTTCATTAGAGATCATGTTCTCAAAGGTGATGTCGAGATTGAGTTTGTTGAAACACACAACCAATTAGCCGACATTTTCACAAAACCTTTAGAGAAAGAGTCGTTCTTCCGCATTCGAAGTGAACTCGGAATCCTTGACTCCACGATGATCTAAGTTGTGCATTTAAATTTATTAAACATTTACTAACTTGAGCGTCGGAGAACTTTTTCTTTTTTTGCAGGTACCCCGTTCATAAAATCAGGGGGAACCATGCAAACAGCGCTGTCCAGGAGACACAACAGCGCTGTTGAGGGAAACACCGTCAACCAGAAAGTTTTCCAACAGCGCTGTCCATCAACCCAACAGCGCTGTCCCAGGGAGTCCCTTACACCTTCACTTTCCAGAAACTTTCTGAACATCGATGTTCCCTTTTAAACATCGCTGTCTTCCCAAAACTTTTTGTTTTCAACCAAAACCAGAAACTTTTCAAACAGCGATGTCTCACTTTCAACATCGATGTCGATCTTTACAAATTTTTGTCTATCGTAAAACAGCGATGTAATGACACCCAACAGCGCTGTCCTAATGGGTTCACACCCTTTCACAATTCCAGAAACTTTTGGAACATCGCTGTCCTTTTGACTCTTGTTTTTTTTAAAACTTGACGCAGAACAGCGCTGTACAGGGAACAACAGCGCTGTCCCAACAGCGATGTCGCCTGTAGAACATCGTTGTTCTGGTCAAAATTTTCAAAAAAAAATCCGTTGGCAGCAGCATTAACTTCTCCAACAGTCACTTTTTTGAAATTTTGGACGTTGGAGGCCTCCTTTTCTATAAATTGGAGCCTCCACTCCTTATTTTTACACACACAAACACAATTCTCTCCCTTCTTTTTGCATAATTCATCCTCCTTACAAGTTTTTTTTCAAATCTCCTCATCATGGCCAAAGATAAGAACAGGGCAGGAGGTTCTGGCAAATCCAAGGCTAAATCCCGGGCTCCATCCACGACCTCTGAGGAACGCCTCTACTACGGCGATGGGTCGTACCTCTGGTTCGATTCCGAGGAGGAGCGCACCCGATTTCTCACCTTTTTCTCCAAACGGGTTGTGGCTCCCCCACGAATCATCCCGGAGCGCTACCCGGAGTTGCAGGGCTACGACGACCTCGACGCGCAGCTCCATCATGCCGGTCTTTGGCCGTTCGTCTCCCGGGCGCACAAGAAGATCAACCCGGCGCTGATCCGGGCCTTCTACTCCAACCTCCGGCGTGAGGACGACGTTCTCTACTCGCTCGTCAAGAGCACGCCGATCGAGCTCACAGTGGAGCAGCTTGGGCGCATCGCCGGCCTCCCCTTCCAAGGCGACAATGTGTCCCACTATGGTGGAGAGGATTGGGTGCTCAACAACGAGGGCCTTATCCTCAACGAGCTTGGCATCACCGAGCTCAAACGCCATGCCTCGGGCCGCCCAACCATCCACTCCGCAAACCCCGAAGGCCGCCTCGTCCTCTACATCGTCTCCCGGATCATCAAACCGAGGAAGCACGGCCACACCATCATGCACGGTGAAGACCTCAAGCTCATCCATGCGATCATGCATTCGGCCCCAATCAATTGGGCAAAGTTTGTCATGATCAACATGACGATTGCAGCGTCCACCGAGCACGACCACCTCCCCCCCTACCCGTTTTTAGTGATGGACATCCTTGAACGGTTCAAGGTAACCACCACCGTTGGCCCGCTAACGAAGGCCACGAAGATTTGGACAATCAACAACCAAACCTTCCTCAAGCGGTCAGACAACGCTGCGGCTGCCACTGCCGAGCCACGCCGCACTGCCCCTACCGCTGGCCCAGCCGAAACCCAGGCCCGGGCCAACCTTGCCTCCATCGCCGACTCCCTCAACCAGCTCCACCTCAAAGTTGACGGGATGGGTGGCTACCTTGAACGGCTCGACGTGGCTGTTCAACGCCAAGGATACGCGATGAACTCGTACTTCCAAGGCATCAACTACGTCCCCCCACCGTACCACGGCACGTTCTTTGGGCAAGTGTACGGTGACGAAGACGAAGCCGATGACTCCTACGCCCTGTCAAGCTCCCCGGATGAAGACGAGTTCGACGATGCCATCGATGGGGATGAGATGGACGTCGACGACGACGAGGAGGAAACCGAAGACGAAGACTAGGACTCCCCTAAAATTTCTATCTCTTTTACTTTAATTATCCTTTTTTTAATGCTTCCGTTGTACTCCGCTATTTCCCTTTATTAAATAAAAATCATTTCGTTTATCTTTTTGTTAATGTCAAAAGGGGGAAGAAAAGGGCTATGCATATACTAAGGGGGAACGTCTCTCTAAACGAGACCGTTTGATTTTAATCCAAGTAAATTTTTTTTTAAGCACAAATTAAGGGGGAACCTTTTTTTTCACAACTTTTGAAAAACAAATATCCCTTAGTATGCATATCCCCGTCTTGTTTGCCATTATCAAAAAGGGGGAAATTGTTGGAACACGGGTTTACGCCTACGTCGTACTAAACTCTGTTCGCTTTTATGACAGGTTTTGATAATTCCAAACCGCCGCGACATATCAAAGCTAAAGTGAGCAAAACTAAGGCGAAGGAACATGGCATGATGACTTGAGAACCAAGAACCCAGAATCAAGAACGAAGAACTAGAATTGTATTGAGTCGGTCTTAATGTGATCAAGACCGGCACAAAATTCCAAATCTTGGCTCTCTAGGCTCAATTCATAAAAATATCTTTTACATATTCAAAAATATTTTTCTCAAGTTTTAAACTTGCCTAAAAACGCTTGGAGTTCGCCCAAGCCAAAAACCAAGCCATCCGGCGTTCGATTTTCAGAAACCGGCGCTCGGCTTTCGGTTTTCGGCATTGATTTTTGGCGTCCAAACCAACCAAGTGGTTTTCAATTTTTCATGACTGGCTTTTACTTCTGGGCATATTTAAATAGTTCTCCAACAAAAATGCCTCAAAAACCACCTTCCGTTTTTGGTCGTTTAGTGAAAACCATGCAAAACGGCGCGAACTTGGCTAGCCGTGGTTTTCAACTAAATGACGTGGTTTTTAAGATGTTTTACTTGATTTCTTAGCAAAATGCAATATACAAATGTTTTCTAAACTTGGTTTTTATTTTGGAGAACTTGCGTTTTTGACATCGGCTAACGGCGTGACTAAACCAACCACGGGTCTGGCTAAACCAGCCCAACAGCGATGTTGAGATAATCAACAGCGCTGTCTGGCCTGGGTAGCTGAAAACATGGTTTGGC